AATTCAATCAGTGTTTACACTAATGTTTCTTTATGTTTCTTAATTCACTAGGAATTAGGTCTAATATGTACAAGTATAGGTGTGCATATTAAGATTGGCATGTATCGGTTTTATCGGTCAGTTAATCCAGTTTTGATCTATTTTTCTTCGTCGATAACTGATAATTAATTGGTCCATATAGTTGGCTCGTTAATTTTGACTGACCCATATATAAATGAGTTGGTCGATGGTTTTCAGTTTACTTAAAAATTGGTTGGTTAATATTAACAAACCAACTGAATTTTTAATAATAAAAATCTATTATAAAATTTTAAATGTAATTCTTATTTTTTATAAGTTAAAATAATATATAAAAGTCTTATTTCTATTTTACAAATATTTACATACGATTTCTATTTAAGATTCTTATTTTATATTCTTCATTATATATGGGCAAATTACGGTCACTCCTCTGATGTATGGTCATATTACGAAAAAAAAACCCCTTGTTTTGGTAATTACAGCACCCCCTCCTTTTAAATATTTTTACATAAAACTTATGTAATTCGGTTATTTACCGAACCAAATCGTATATCCAGTTCGGTAAAATGTATGAAATGTTGTTGTACCGAAATTTCGGTCCAGTTTTACCGATTTAACATCCCTAAATTTACCTCTGGAGGGGTATTTTCGTAAGATAATACATAGTTGAGGGGGTGGCTATAATTACCCAAACAGAAGCGGTGTTTTCGTAATTTGACCATAACTTAAAGGGTGGCCGTAATTTGCCCTTATATTTACTTGTCGTAGAAATTTAGTATAAAAAAAACTCTTAATTTTAAAGTTCATATTTTTCCTATATAAGTTTTCTCAAAATTTTGAATATCTTATGATTTTTCTTTAAAAAGAAATAGATTCCGATAATTTAATACCAATAACAACCCATTATTTACCCGACAAAGTCGGTTGACAACCATATCCGACTCATAACAATCGAACCAGTAATGATTTTCAATATTTTGCAAAATCGTTTGGTCGAATCGGGTAGGTAAGTGACCGATGGGTACCCAAACAACCCATGCCCAAGTCTAGTGCATAGTGTGTACATAGTTTTTTTCTAAAAGAAAATTAAATGTACTAATACAAACACAAGTCCATAAATTTGAGGAAATAAGCAAAATATTAATGTGAAGTGACAAAGATGGAGTAACATTGCATGTTCAAATGCATACTATGATATCTACTCCACATAAGTAGAGCATGGTCCATATAGCATCTTAATTAAAAGCACTCGTCTTTTTTTTTATTTTTTCAACATTTGTTGGCTACTATACTTTATGTTTTTTTGCCTCTACAAACTCTTTCCACACAACCCAAATATTAAATGCTTAATTTCTAATACCAAAAAATATAAAAAAAAATAAAATTGATTTAGTATATGGTAATGACATGACAATTCACCAAACTAATGTTTCATTTATTTATTTATTTTATTTGGGGTGTGAATTTCATGCAAATATGATTACTCAACATGGTGAGAACATAGATAAATGATTTTCCCTCAAAGCTACTTTTGGTTCTTTTTTTTTGGGCCATATCTAAAAGAGTAAATTTTTTTTATTAATTTATTTATTCATCAATCACATCTAAGATAGTTAAAACAAATAATATTACTGCATAATCACTAGAGTTTATTCCTTAAAGATGTGTTCGAGTCGATGATTTGATTGAGAATCCGGTGGGTCGCTGAATTGCGCTTCAGAATTGAACAAATGATTACCCTCAGACGATCAAGTTAAATGTCATTAATTAAATAAAACAAAACTCGTAAGTTTTGCAGTATGAATAAATGATGTGAAGGTCAATTTTCGACCAATTGAATTTGAAACTGGTGGGCTAAAGCCAATTTGAATCAATTAACTTAGATTCTCTTGGAATCGAACCTGTTGGCAAGCTCGAGTTCGACTTGCCAAAAAACGAGTTCGAGTTAGAGTTTTTATCGAGCTGGCTCAACTCATTTAGACCTCTATATCAGATAATGATGTGCTCTACCAATTTGGAACCAACTTAGTCACTTTTGTTATTTCATTAACTTAGATATGGTATTCTATGTTAGGTCAAAGTGGGTTGATATATGAATAAAATTAAAAAAAAAAATACAATATAATTATTAGTTAGGAAAAATGAAAGCGACAGCTAATAAATAGATTAATTTTCTTGCCGTTAAAAAAAAATAAAAAAAATAGAAGTGGTGTCACAATCACAAAGGATTGTTAATCATAAAGAGAGTGACATAGATTGTCTTGCATAAATTAACAATCAACTGAAACAGGATTAAAGTTATCAACTTATCAATCTATCCCGATTTATGTAAACCCCACCAATAAAGATTTGCCTAACTATCCCATATTCGTGGGATAGATAGATATTACTTATTATTAGTTGGATGTCTACTCATTCTTTTCGATTTTGGTTTTCTTATTTTGGAAATAATAAATATTTTATTTATTTTACTAGTGTTTTTTTTAGGAAAATTTAAATTATTTGGATAATTTATACTCAATTAATTAATTGTTTTTTTTTTATTTAGGCCTCGTTTGGTTGGCAAGATAAGATTAGCCAATATAAGATTAAATAATAATGAGACCCAATTATTTTATTGGAGCTGGTGCAACAAAAAAAACTCATTAAAAGGCAAGATAAGCCAAGATAAGGCAAGATAAGCCATGATTATATAATTTTGGCGGGTCGACCCGGCAAGTTATTGAGGATACCAAACATCAAATTAAGTCCAACTATTTAGTTAATCATGACTTATCTTGGCAACCAAACGGGACCTTATTGAATTGATTGGCATAAATAAATAGGCTCTCGAGTTACACTTTCCATATGATTAGGTTGAACTCGAATAATGGATGATGTTTATCTTAGTAGTGACTTTAGGCCAAACTTTTCTTGCACTTTGGTCCTTTTTGTACCTTTAGTTTTAGTGTTGAGAAAAATAAATTATGAAAAGTGTAAATGGAGAAAAAACGTGAGAAAGTCGTACGACCATAAGCTGGTTCAGTGAAATGTTCTGTATTGCAAGCTCCATTTATGACGTGCGAACCATTCTGTTGATCACGAGTTGATTTTTCATTGACACTGATCAGTGAAATGATCAGTTTCGCAAGCTCCATTTACGGTTCAATTTATCTCATACTGCCAATCGATTGTTTGATTAGGAGTCAAATTTGGAACATTTTTATTTATTTTCTTTTCGTCGATTCTGATTCAAATTTTTCTGATTTCGGGAGAATAACTTCCATTCCAAATTCAAAAAAATGGATTTCCACTTTTTTTTGAAAATTACACTTGTATTGTCAATAACATCATGTATTTTATAGATTAGGTGACAAAAATTTGGATTTTTCATTTATTTCGCCCATTTCGATCAGAAAATTTCTGATTTTGGAACAACTTATTTAATTGCAACTTTTTTTATTTTTTGACATGAAACTGAAATTAGTTATTCACTTTAAATAGATGTTTTTTTTTTTGAAAGTATGAACTCGGATCCGTCTAATTTCCACCACTACGTATAAATTTAAAACAAAAAATCGTTGAACAGATAGTTCAAACTAAATAAATACAAATCGTGAACCATCGGAACTATCCGAACCAAAAGTTCGTAATCCGCCCCAAAACCAACAATTTTACGATTCATTATATCGCGGTTCCGGAACCTAAGTTATATATTACAAAAGGTTTGGGCTTGGTATCATTCATGGACGTATAATTAAATTGGCCCATCCTAATAAATTAAATACTACCAAAATAATAGGGTTTTTCATTTATTTTTCTTGGGCCATAATTAAAATTAAAAGCCACGTGAGTCTTAATGAGAGAGCTCCAGCCTATATAAGACAGCCCAATAAGCTTCCATCCTCTCAGTTTTAATCTCTCTTAACTCCTATTTTAAGATTTAAGTTAACTTTATTAACCAAGAAAATAATTGCATTTGCTCAAACATAATTAAAAGAAACGAAATAAAACTAGAAAATAAAAAAAAAATGCTGTATATTGAGTTTCCAAATTAGAAATTACTATATAAGAACGATAATCGAACGGGTAGAAACTAGAAACGAGTATTTCGGAATTTGTACCTATTCGAGTTGTGAATTTACAAAAGAAATCACCTTTTTCCAGACAATCTTCAAAACGCCTATTTTCGGTTCATTTTATCTTAGGAGCCAAACGAGCCCTTAAATAACATATAATATCCGGCCAAATTCGGGATGGAAGGGGTGTTCATTCGATACGTACCGAACGGTAACGGAATTTCGGTAAACCGAAATTACGGTACTTCAAAAGTTTGTGCGTTTACAGTACCAAACTATTCGGTTCGGTACGATTTTTTACCGAACTAATTCGATTTTTTCGGTTGGGTATTAGTAAAACCAAAAGTATATTTCAATATGTTAAAAACATTTAAAAAAAAAAATTCAAACTAATTAATTCTTGAATTCGATATTCAAATTTCCCTAAAAAAATAATCATCAATATAGACTAATTTGTAAATAATGAAAAAATATCAATCAATCTAAAAGTATTTTACAATTTATTATAACCTTAAAAAAAATTAAAATAAAAGAAAAAAAATATACATATACAATATACAATGTACAATGTACCGAATACTAAACATACTTTTCAGTTTGATGTTTGGCACGTAACGAACTTTTGGCTCGATTCGGTTCGATCTATTTACCAGTTGACCGAGCGAACGCCCCTAAAAACTTAAATACTCCATATTTATCTTGAACCATGGGGGCGTTAACTAAACTTATTGTAGAAGAGCGTGTTGTGGGCCCACATCGATATTCCCTTTTGGTACCTTTGTTGTCATTTTTAGTTTGTTTTAATCATTGGTTCAAAATCCCACTACTTTTAAATTACTACTTTATCTTATTTCGTGCCACAATTTGAGTAGCCTTGCTCTCTCTAATAAATAAATCTTTTATCACCATATAACTATACATTAATCATTAATTAACAAAGCAATTACATTTGATGTAATTACGCCTCATAAATACCGTGATTGACAAATCACTATGCAGCTAATGCTCACATTCTTCTTCTTATTACCAACCATGTAATTAATTAATTTAATCATGTAATAAAAATATTAAATATTCAAAAAATATTTACAGAAGCAGCTACTAACTACATCCACCGATTCCACCAAACAGTTGACCTCTGAGTTGTGTGTGTATATATATATGTATGTATCCACGGCTCACGTTAGCACCCCACCCTCTGTTCTGCATCAAATATTCCACAACAAGACTTTTCATTTTACTTCCGAGCTGATGCTTCGTACGTTAAAGCAAACGGCAGCGTATTAATTACAAGAAATCATTACATGATTTTGTCACTACACTGAAGAGATCAAGAAACAACCCACCAACTATTTTGCTCAAGGTATGCACTTTACCCAAGAATTGCTTTTTTTTTTTTTTTTGTGATTGATTAGTAATTTATTGTGGGTTTTTGTGTAATTAGTGGATTATGCTGTTTGATTAATTGGTTCTTTATTTTGTTTTCAAGATTGCTTTTTTAAGTCTGGTAATATGGATATATTTCAATTGAGAGGTGCTTGATTTTACTTCTTTAATTAGTGGAATTAAAGGGATGGGAAAGTAGAGCAAGATTGATTCTAGAGTAACAATGGTGACCTATACATCTATATATGATATATGTATAGGTTTAAGAGAATCTTGAAATGTAAACTATTGGTAAATTTGCCTAGATTGTTGTTTGTTGCTATATGTTTTTTCTTATGATTTGGGGGGCCTCGGTTAGATGGGAGAAGGGTCCGGTTCGACTCGGCCCGGACCAGAGTCAACGGGTCGGTTAATCGGGTCAATGGGTCGATGAATCGGACCCTCTACTAGAACTAGGATTCATTGTGGTGTTTTTCAACTTTTATTTATAGTGCTTTTCTAAGCAGCGAAATTCAAGATTGGATTTTTCGGTGAAACCCCATTTCGTTGTTTGTGTTATAGATTGCGTGTTGTTGGAATGGCGAGCAATGTAGTAGCTGCGATTATCGCATCCGATATTGCTGATCCAGACATGCAAAAGTTCTTGCACGAAGATGACGTGGAATTACAGAATGCCCTAAAAATATCCGACGAAGTGGAAATGACCTTAGCCTACTCCTCCGAAAAGCTCGCAAATTTGGAGAATCTCTTACTGAATGTCTTAGCTGGCGAAAACGATATCGAAGCCATCGATTTCCAAAACGATAACATTTCAGCGGAATTTATCGAAAAAGCTTTCACATTCGATCTGCTCTATGCCATACTAAATCTCGAGCTAAGAGAGATGGACAATGTAACAGCCAATCTTCAAGACCTAATTCTCGTTGCCCTTAATAAAATATCTCTTCCCGTAAATTCTAAAGAATGTCTCACTAAATTGCACGATTCTGAGGGTTTATTAAAACAGTCACAAGAGCGTATTCTCGAGATGAAGATTCAATTAGCTAAGTTGCAGATGACATCGTTCATCTTCAAACAAAACGAATGTAAGTACATGTCTTTTTTTCCATTTTTTCCACCTCGATTTTAAAACATCTATCTTTTTTTACTTGCTGATATGTTTTTTTTTTGAATCACAGTTAAATCCGACTTGTATAATACGGGTGTAAAGGGAGAGCTTCGTTTAGCAACCACGGAATGGAAGCCCGAAGCGCAAACAGCCGAACAAAGACGTGTCTTAAGAATGTTGGAAATATCTCTCGCAAGAGAGCTCGATCTTGAAAAGAAACTGACAGAGGTGATACAAAACGAGGAAGATTTAACGTTTAAGATAGGTTTGTTAGAAAAAGTCTCGGTTTGCATGGAAGAAGCTGCCGAGGTTGCATGGGGAAGGTTCTTAGAAGCCGATAATACATCCGAAGTTTTAATGGGAATTTCGAAAGAAATGCTCGGAAAAGTTCAGGTTTTTCATTTCAATCTCATTAGTTCAAATAAAAGAGAGCAAGAGTTAAAATCCGAAATCCAAGATTGTACTAGTCGGTTAAACGAAAAGGAAACTTCAATCAAGAATCTCAACGAAGAAGTCACGGGGTTAAGAGAAAAAGCCCAGAAGCTCGAAGAAACCGAATCCCGCTTCGAAAAAGTCAACGCATTGACCGAAAAAAGTCAACAGCAGCTTCGAGCAATGGAAAGCGAAATCGAATCTTTAAAAGAGAATCTATACGCTGCAGAGAGTAGGGCGGTCAGTGCAGAAGAAAAAGTTGCGAACTTGACAGAATCGAATATCGAACTGACCGAAGAGCTCGATTTTCTCAAAGGCAGTAACGACAGCTGTACGAAAAAGGCGAGCTTATTCGAGAAGCAGTTACGGGATTTGGATATTCAGCTGCAGCATTCTAGGGCAACCTCCGAAGCAAGCCAAGAGCAGCAGAATATGCTGTACACTGCGATTTGGGACATGGAAACGTTAATCGAGGAACTGAAACAAAAAGTCGCGAAAGCTGAGAGCAAGACAGAGGTCGCGGAGGATCGGTGCGTTGTAATATCGGAGACAAATGCGGAACTTAATAAAGAACTCGTCTTTTTGAGGAGTAGAGTGGGGTTGATGGAGGCTTCTTTGAAGGAAAATGATATCGAGAAAAAATCGAGAGCGAAAGAAATTAGTATTAAAAGTGATCTTATTATGGATATGGTTATGCAGTTAGCGACGGAGAGGGAACGTATACAGAAACAGGTGCGTTTATTATTATTATTTTTTATTTTTGCAAGTGAATATGAGTAAAATAGAAAATGGGTTGACTTAATTTTCAGTGCAGTTGACCTCTTTGGCAAAGGAAAACAAATTGTTGAGAGAGAGATTTAGGAAAGAAGAGAGAAATGCGGGATTAACTCGGCGAGACGGGATTGAATCGGTTGTTGAGTCCGTAGAAGCTTCTTTGATTAAAGAGACTGAGATCTCGTCGGAAAGCTTTCAAGTAGGTTTCTTTTATTTTGATCCTTTAAATATCTAAATTGTTTCTGTTGGTTACGAAAATATATGCGAGAAAAATCGGTTCTTTTTCTTGAAAACGTCCTTCTTGAATTGCATACTTTTGAAGTGTGAAAATTGGTATTACGAATTAGATTGTCTCGTGTTCAGCCCTCGAAGATTCTTGTCTAGGCGACGCTAATAACACCCGATTTTATTTATTTATTTTGTTTTTTTTTTGTTTTTTTTTTAACATTAGATGATGATAGTTGTTCTTCGGATAAGATTTTGGGATAATTAATTAGCTCTTATGAACATGCCTGCGTTTTGTTATGACAATAATGTAGGTGGAGAAATCAGTCGTAAATGAGAATGCAACAGAGTCTTCCAGTTCGACAATCGGCAACACAAATTTAGTAATTGCGAAAGACGAGAGCTTTGTAGAGACTGGTAAATCTCGAAAAAAGGCCTATATTTTCGTGGCGATTTTTGTTGTGTTGGTATCGATTTTGGCAACACAATTATTTCAACGAGAATTTGCTGCTTCCAAAGTCTGAACCTTTTAAAAAGTTCGATTCTTGACATTTTCGGACCACACTTGTGTGTGAGTATAGTATATGTACCTCTTGTGCAAATGTTGTTTGTATACTATGTTTCTTCTTCTTCGGATAATCAATCAATCCCTCAAAGGTAGTGTCACTATGTAAATTTTTCCTAGTCTCAATAGGCATCTTTCTATTCTTTTCTTCCTTCGTTTTTTTTAAATTTTTTTTAACGTCTGTATTGGTTATTTTTTGGTCGAATGATCACAATTTATTTATTTATTTTTTTATGTATTCGTCTATTTTTTTGGTTGAATATCATAATAGGGACCTGTATTGGTCTATTTTTTCTTTTTATTTATAAACCTAGCAAAAAAATAATATAATATATAATATATATATTCTGGACCATTCCAAAATTGGGGGTATATGTTTACACTTACAGCATTCTATTTTATTTTTTATTTTTTTACTATAGAAAAGTTGTGGAAATGGGATATTGGGATGTATTGTATTGGTGAAAAGTTACAAACTTTATTTGAAGTGAAAAACTAAACCCAATTTTAAAATTAAACTTTGGGTTGAAAAACTTGTTCCACTCTACTCTCAATTGCATCGATTTGTCTCTATATTTGAAAAATTGTCTCAATATGGCCCTATCCGTTAGTTTTCAAACCTTTGACCTTACACTGTTTGATCTAAGTCTGAAAATTATTAAAAAGTCATCCTTCACAGTTTAAATAATTATTAAAAAAATTAAAAATAAATTGTGGGAAAAAGTGATATTGACAACTAACGACAAGGGCCATACTGAGACAATTTTTCAAGTATATGGGGTCAAATCGATGCAATCGAGAGTAGAAGGGGGTAAATTAATATCGAGCCAAAGTAGGGGGGGGGGAATCGATGCAATTGAGAGTAGAAGGGGAAAAAGTGACACCGAGACAAAGTAGAAGGGTGAAAGTGGAATTTACCCTATTTTATATTATATACATTATTTAAATAAAAAATAAGACATAAAACATAAAAATAAAAATAATAGATAAGGCTTGCGAGCCGGCTTGTGAGCTCACGAACAACTAAAAACTGGCTCGAGCTCGGCTCACAGAGAGCTCGAGCTCAAACTCATAAAGCTCGAGTCCGAGTTTGAGCTTTTTTCGAGCAGACTCATCGAGCTCATGAGTCGGCTCGGCTCGTTTACCACCCTAGTGTCAAATCAAAATTTATTTCGGCATCCACATTGAATAATACATTTGCTCAATGTTTATTAATTTTATTTGGTAATAACAAGATTATAATTTAATTTTTAATTAGGAATAATTTAATTGTAGGTTGGAAGCTAAAAAAGAAATATTGATACATTGCATCTAGTGATGAACAGCGGCCAAGCCGGCCTCAATTAATTTAGTCCGCTCAGCCCGCAATATAATTCCTAGGGTTGAGCCTCAGTTTTACTCTGCGGGCTGGGCCGGGCGATGGGCTGAGCCCGCAGGCCAGACTAGCCGTCCTTAATGGGCCGGGTGGGCCATTTGTTCACCACTAATTGCACCTCTCCTAGGAATTGAACATTTAACAAACTCATAATTAATAGAACTCAGACTTCGAACCTGATTTTAACATATTTCTATTTTGATTTTGGCAAAATTCGAAACACGAAAAGTCTTTTAGGTTAGCTTTCTAATCCAACTTAAATCTGCTAGATAGGATGTCGTGTGACAAAGTTATGCATGAATGAGTCACATTTTGAATTTTAGATACCTCAATACATCAAAGTTGTGGGCAATATCCATTGATTCATGTATATCTTTCTCGTCCGACATCCAATTTTGGTGATTCAAGTTGGATTATAAAACTAACTCAGAATAAAAAATGATCAAAATCACGTTTGAAGCCGAAACGGTATTATTAAAGCTCGAACGACATTTATCACATCCCCTAATAGAATTATTTGGAGACGATAAACTTCTAATCAAACATTTATCCGAACTAATTAAAAGGCAAATCATACTTATTCGATTAAAAAAAAAATAATACATTTGCACCAATAACACATATCATCAGTCCTGATCTTTAATGGTGGACTGAGGTAAATGTTTCGGGATTAATTTTTCTTGTGAGATTTGCTGCAAAGACATCTACCGTGTGTACAAACCGACTTAAATTTGCCACAATCGTTTGTACGAGCCTGAGCGCATTCCTTGTCAGTGGAGCACGTTCGAACCGGCCATGGAGCGCAATAACACTTCCCCTCAAAACAAAATACCTTTTGTTCGACTCGTTGGTTCGTGCAAAGTACAGATTGTTTATCGCAGTCATGATCGACTTTGCATTGTTGTGCTGACACTGTCAACCATAATTGGAAAAAATAATACATAAGAAAACAAGACTTTGATCATTAGTCATATATATATATATATATATATATATATATATATATATATATATATATATATATATATATATATATATATATATATATATATAGAGAGACTAACCATATCCCATAAGAAAAAATATGACAAAGAATATCTTCCTCTGAGAAGCCATATTCTTGATGAATTACTTAATACTGATTATGACTTTTTTTTTTTTTTTTTTTTTATAGAGATATATTGTTTTTTTGTTTTTGTTTTAAAGGTCAAGTTCTAAAACCTATATATATAGATGGTTCAAATGTGATATTGCCTAATTATATGTAAGATCACATGAATTTAATTATAAATGAATTCTTGGGTTTCTTTCCCCTGCATAATAATTATGATGCCAAGTAATTCCGATTTCAGATTCGTCATATATACTTGCCTAATAAAATGGATTTTTCATAATTATATAACTCGAATTAATCAGTCAACAGTCAACAGTCAACAGTCAACGGTCAAAACATATTTTAATGGATAAATATAAAGGGATGATAATAGGTCGGTTATGAAGTGGGTTTATCTAAACCCGAGACCCGACCCGTAAAATAAATATAAAATCCAAACCCGCTTCAACCCGTTTTAGTTTAGACCATGGATCCGCCACAACTTATACTCGAATTAAACGGTTCTGACTTGCGAAACCCATTAATATAAAATAAATCTAACTTTCATAGTATTTTGCTTGTATATTTTTAAAAAAAATATATCTCACACACTACAACAAAATATGTATATTGCGACATTTTGTTAGGGACACTTTCTTATAAACGTCTCAAATGTAATTTCTTGGGACACTTCATAAATTTATCTTATTTATTAAATATTTAGAGACACTTATAGCTCAAATATAGAGACATTTTGTTTTTCTCGGCTTCTAATTGTAACATATTAAAACACTTAACAAATTACTTATTTATAAAATTCTTATTAACTCAAATTTATTTTAGGGTGATGTAAACATGTGGCGGTTCCTTTTATTTTATTTTTCTTTTTTTACCCTAAATCACACTGAACCCTCTTTTTTCACGATAAAAAATCAAAGTTTTTCTCCCAGACGCAGCAGGCCCAATTTTTTGAAAGAAGATGCTTCTATGATCCGCCGAAGACGAAGATTCCTCCACTAAACGAAGAGTTACTCGGATCCGCCAAAGAAGAAGAAGAGAAGTAGTTATCCGCCGAAGAGTTCCCCGATATCCTTTTTTTTCTTTTACGGCTCGTTCAGGAATCCATTACACGGAACGAAGAGTTGTCCATTGCAGAAGGTAATTTCTTTTCTTTCTTCTCACCTTAGGGCTTACAATTTTGAAAGCATGGGCTAATCCGTATGAAAGTTCCTATGTAATGATTAGTATTCAAGCCCTAACCCCTAATTTATAATTGTACTTATAGATTCAGAAATCCCTATTTTAGTATAAGTTAGGAAATTATAAACAATTTAATTCCTAATTGCCAGGACTTCTGCACAAAAAAAAGGTGGCATTGGCAAAAGCCCTTTTGCTTCCCAGTCTTTGTATTTCCTAAACAACTAGGGTAATGATCACAAAAAATTGATATTAGGAGTTAAATAAGTTATAGTGATTTTGAAATATCTTTTACTGTTCTCGTATTACATTCTTGGTTAATGAAATTTAATTTATGAACTTCTTAGATGATTTTTCTGACAATTGTTTTTATGACTAAAATAATGGATCTTTGTATAGAACAATTCGCAAGACTTTACCTAGAATGAGAATATGTACGTTATGCAACTTTTAAGCAACTTCTCTGTGACCCATTATTAGATCTTTTGAAATAAGATATTCAATTTGTTAGTAAATAAGTATGTAGTGGTGCAATTTTGGTTTTTGTAGGATACAAGGAGTTAGGGGAGCGAAGTTTAATGGTTTCCCATTGAGTTGTTACCTAGCAATCATATACAGGTATTAACTTTGAGCTTATTCATGGGCCATTTTTCATCTTCATCAAATTTTGTAAAAACATGTAGATTATTTTCAATATTTCTATGTTGGAGCTAGCATTCTGATTTCGTACCTTCAGAGTTTTCTTGAAATCTTTTTTTCTTTTTATTTTTGCAGGTGTAGCAATCTTGCATCAGCTCTATCATTATTATCATTACGTAAGTTAGTAGTTTAAAGATATAAGATATTATTTTTGGTGCCTATGTCATGCTCTGCACAAATCTTGGTCGGATAAACTCGTTATCATCTTCTCTATGTTGTTTTCATATTTATGTATTCCTTTTTTTTTTGGTTTTTTTGGCAGGAAGCTGCTAATTGGAGTGCATGCTATTTCTATTGCAGGTTACTTAACCTTTACAACAGCAAACAGAATAGCGAGTTGATTTAGGCGTTGATATTTTCCTAAGAAGTCTTGCAGAAGTCGTGAAGGTTCGGTGCATTGCGGTTGCTTCCTTATGGAGTTTCTATTACTTTTACTTGTTAGATGTGTTTTGTGTGTAGTGTGTTAAATATCTTCGAAGATTCTAGATCAAGGACTAACATTCAGATGATTAATCATGATTATGTATTCATGTAACTATTGTTTGATCTTTTATAATTTTATTTATATGAAGTTGTTGACATTTCTGTGTATCTTGAAATGTATTTTTTGTAGCAGGATATAAAGTGTTTATATGTGTAATAGAAAAATTATTAATTTTTTCAAAAAAAAAGAAAAATTATTAATAATTATTTATGTCCATATCGGACAGTTATAAGGGTTTCAAAAAATTTATACCAGAAACAGA